CTCGGGTTTCCTCTTCAGCTCACATAGAAAGAAGCAATTTGCCCGTCTTAGGGAAGATGAGTGGCAAGAAAGACAAAGGGACTGGAGGGAAGACTATCTCACGGCTGACTAGAATGCACTTGAAATTTCAGGTTGGGAACTAAAGAACTTCAGACTCAGGCCAACACTGTGAAGTGACAGTTGTCTTGGTGTTACATTGCCATGAGACAATGGTCTAGACAGAGGAGCTAGAACTAGGTCATAGAGTAGGCTGTCCCCTCTTCCTGTTCCTTTCCATTCAGTCTCTCATGCTGTTAAAACCCTACAGTTACATCTCTTGTGCAGAACAGTTTTTCCCTTGTCTCATTTACGAGTGCATGGTTCAAACTGGACTCTGACAATCGTGAAGCACCTGTGCTCTTGGGGTCCCGCTGGTCCTTTGGTTTAGATTCCCCAGGCTGAGCCAGCTCCACCTGTGATCATGTTCTCCATGGGGCTAGGTTTCACCCTGGCTCCAGACAGCATAGCAGAGTAGATTACCAGTGACGACAGCGCTACTCTGCTTTCTTCTACAGAACCTGCAGTCAGAGGAGTCGCTGAAATAACATGGATGCAGAGAGGTACTCTGGAGAGACTTCCTTTGCTTCAGGGACTTCCTTGAAGTGGAAGTCTCTGGAGTGACATTCTCCCAAATATTCTGTGCACGTCATTCTCTTGAAAGACGAGAAACAAAAAAGGAATAGCATAGGGCCAGGGATTTTGAGAAATGGGTGATTTAACAAACCAACTGGGACTCTTTATCCGAAACCCATAGCATGCTGACGAGCCACATCTCAAAGGGGAGAAACATGGGACTTTGACACCTGACCCTTTTGATCTGGAATATTTTGCAGGCCTGGAATTTTGTGACACAGAATCTCAAGTGTCATATTCACAATCAATAATTGACTCTGCAGCATTGAAACCTTGCATGTGATACTATAAAAACAAAATGGATTCACCCTGCTCACTCATTTCAAGGCAGCAGTCTCCAAGGTTACTTGCTTTTGGTAGAAGCCAGCCAATTTGGGAGAGCACTCAGAGAAAAGTCTCCAAGGGATGCTGTTTGGATACTTGATAATCTGCACTTAAATTGGAACATTTTTTGTTTACTTTGGTATTTTATCTTTCACCGTTTAAAAAAATTCTTCTCTAATACATTACATCCCAACCATAATTTCCCCTCCCTCCACTCCTCCTCCATTTCCCTTCAAAAAAAAAGAGCATTCCTCCCAAGGATGTCAGCCAAACATGGCATAACAAGTTACAATGATACTAGGTACAACCCTCATATTAAGGTTGGATGAGAAAACCCAGTAGGAAGAAAGGGGTCTCAAGTGCAGGCAAAAGAGTCAAAAGCACTCCCTACTCCTACAAGAACACCAACCTAATAGCCATAATATATATGCAGAGGACCCTTATGTAGGTCAGGGTCCCTGATTGTCGGTTCATTTTCTGAGCCCTGCTGTGAACCATGTTCTTGTGGTGAAATCAGAGCCAATTGTAATAATGTACATTGGGAGGGATCCAGTCTATGCCTTTTGCCACTTACATTTTACCTTATTGTAGTTGTCAGAGTTATTTGTTCTAAGGCTCTCCAAAATATATGGTCCAATTGATTCCCTGAAAGGGCTGTGACATTCAAATAGACCAGTTGCTGAGATGGAAATTTTGATTGTTGCTGGAGTTTTCTTTCCTGTTTTCTCCCACTGCCACTTCAGCCACAAATGAACATACAAAGATGCTATATTAATTACTAAACTGTTGGCCAGTAGCTAGGGCTTCTTATTAGCTAGCTCTGTCTTGATTATTAACACATTTCTATTAGTGTAAGCATTTCCACATGATCTTATCTTACCAGAGAATGCATGGCATGTCCTATCCTCCCGGTATCTATATGGCGCCCCTTGTGACACCTCTTTCCCAGCCTTCTCCTCGGCTCCTAGCCGCACCTATCTTCCTTCCTCTATTGGCTATTGGTCAAACAGTGTTTTACTCATCAACCAATAAGACAAACATATATACAGAACATCCCCCATCATTTTGACTTAGAAGGAAAGTAAGCAGGGGCTGAGGAGATGGCTTGATGGGTAAATCGCATGCTGCACAGGCAAGCAGAAGAGCAGGAGTTCAGGCCCTTGGCACCATATAAATGCCAGTGTGCATGCGAGCGGGTATGCCTGCAACCCAGTGCTTGGGAGCTAGAGATGAGGGATCCCTGGAGCAAGCTGGCTAGCTAGACTAGCTAGGTCAGCAAGCTTAGTGAGAGATCCTGCCTCGGTGTATAAGATGGAGAGCTACCAGACAAGACACCCAGAGTCAACCTTTGGCTTCTATACCTGTGTATTCACACACGCAAACATGCATGTATATATAAGCATGCATACCACATATAAGACACATGCACAAGTAAACAAAGAAATGAATGGACAGAAGAAAATGATGAAGTATTTTGAGGATTCTTCTGTGTGGAGAGTTGAGTCCTTGTATATCTGTAGAGATGGACCTGAGTTGGGTGGTAAGGGAATGAGGAAAATGTGGACAGACACACAGACAGAAATAACTGGAGTCAGGTGGCCGGGCTCTTGGCTGGAGAAACCAAGACATCCTGTAAGGTCAATATGTTTACTGTATGGGGTTGACCAGGCAGGGTTACTACATACAGCTGGACAAGGAAGAGGGGTTATGGCATGCAGATTACCAAGTGTTTGTGGAAGAGACAAGTTTCACTGACTTCTGTAGACATCTTTGGAGAAGTAATCTTCAGGCTGTAAATATCCATGGAGAGGGAGCTATGACAGCTGTTTTCTGCGCACACTGTCCACACATGAACTCGAGGAGAGGAAGGCTTTGTCATTTCCTTCTAGCCTCCCCCAGGTTTGGAAGCAAAGAGGAGGCGTTGCCATTTCTTCTGGGTCTGAGGTCCTTGACATGGCCCTGCCCATGCCAATCTATACACACTCACTAAGAATTCTATCTGCTCAAGGCTTCCTACAGTAGAGGGCTAAAGTTAGTAGAAATACTTTGTAAATCCCACTGAGGGTGCTATAGAAGCTGGATCAGCTTGGGGACAAGTTGCATTAGAACTCACAAATTGTTTACTCTGTGGCGAGAGTTTGTTTGGATCTTCCTCTGGGCAGATCCCTGGAGACTAAGGCTGCCCTGGAGACAATGTCTTCATTTGGTGATAATTAGGGGGATCATTGTTTCAGGGAAGAACTAGTAGTGGATACTGAAACTGGTGGGTGAGCTGTCTTATGGGTGCTGGGAATTGAACCTGGGTCCTCTGGAAGAGCAGTCAGTGCCCCTAACCACTGACCCATCTCTCCAGCCCATAAGTTACTTTTAAAATACAAAGATGCATTACTTTTTACAAAGAGGTAACAAGCCAGATAGCCAAGTGGTCCTGACTTCTCAACATGGAGATGGATGGCACTATACCCAGACAATAGCCAAGGATAATATGTTCTCTAGTCACAGTGCTATGTGTATGACTACAGATATCGGGTCCCCTCACTTCCCACACTCCCCAGGGTGACCATTCCTCCCCCACTAAAGCCAGTGCTACTTTTTTATGGACTTTGCTCAGTGTTGAGGGTCTTCAACACTAAGTGAGACCAACTTCTGTGGCCTAGGGCCCTCCAGATAATGAGGGAGGCCTGTCCAAAAAGCTATTACAGAACTGTGTGCAACATGCAACAGACACAACAAATCTCGGAGATACCCAGAGGGCCAAATGCTCTTTTAAGGTATTGAAAATACTTTCATATTGATTGGTAAAAGCCACTCTCCGAACCTCTAGCCATTTCTCTCTGGTATTCCTCGATTTCATACCACAGAATAATTAATGAGCAGGTGCCTAGTAGCAAGGACCTGGCCGCTACTCTTGTAAATTTCCCATCCTTTCTTCTGGCCCTTATCCTTCCTGGAGGAGGGGATGCCTGTGCTAGGGAAAGTTTGTGATCTGCCCAGCTCCTGTTTGACCTGGAATGTGTCATATCTGGGAAGCCTTGGACTGTTGGTTAAGACTATGAGAAATGAACCCGAAGAGATGAGTTGAGGTCAGCTCACAGAGGACATTGCAAGGCCTCCTGAGCCAGATGAACTTCATTGGACACCTATAAAGACCTTGGAGGATGCCCAAACTGGGAAACAACATGATTGGATGGACATTTCAACTAAGTAAATTTAAGTGGTCTAGATAGATAGATAGATAGATAGATAGATAGATAGATAGATAGATAGATAGATAGATAGATAGGTAAATTCGAGTGCCAGGAAGTCTGTGTGCAGGCTGTTGAAATAGCTCAGATCAAGAACTATTTACCCAAGAAGAAGAAACAATGTACACAGAGAAATTATTGGAATCCACATAGGTTAAAAGGGTAGAATACATGAAGTATCCGTGTGTGTGTGTGTGTGTGTGTGTGTGTGTGTGTGTGTTGTAGGCCAGAGGTCATCCTCAGGTGTCATTCCTCAGATGCTATCCTTGCCAATTAAGCTAGGCTGATGGACTAGGGAGTCCACAAGGATCTGACCATCTCCATCTTCATACTTTACCAAGTGAGCCATCTCCCCAACCTCACATGGCTTCTTCTTTGGAGTGGTAGTTTCCTGCTTTAAAATTAAAAAAAAAATCTACCTCACATTAGATAGAATTTCATTCAAATGAAACCATTTGATACTAATGTTGGCCATGCTTCCGAAGTGAGGAATCGACCCTGTGTAGGAACTTAACTCTGACTAACGTATCCCCAAACCATTAGTTTCTCAAAGCAAGTAGATGAACACTACTCACTTATTGATGTTATGGTGATGATACGGAGGTTCCAGGGAATGTTTCGTTGGAGCCATAAGAAAGTACAAAGACCAGCTTAGCTTTTGCAGTTGTAGGTTTGACTCTCAGTAAGTCCGTGCCTGCTTCCACCTCTGTCTAGTTCATGCTCTTACCTGCCTGCCTCTGTTGGTCCTGCTTTCCCTAGGATGGAGCCTGAAGCTGCCCAGCTGGAGAAGCAGCATGTGCACGATGTATATGAGAGCACTGCCCCCTACTTCAGTGACCTACAGAGCAAAGCCTGGCCGCGAGTCCGCCAGTTCCTGCAGGACCAGAAACCAGGCAGCCTCATCGCTGACATTGGTAACCCAGACTTGTGTTTTGCCATGCGTGGTCTGATGTGTTCCCAGCTGCACCTATCCTTGCCATTCATATCTCATTCTAACAAGAAATGTGATGCTGTGTTGGTAGCATGCTAGACTCTAAAATATTTACTTTATAGCAAAAAAAATCTTATCATCAAAGTCATCAAGAAGGAGACAGCCCCCATCCTATAATTCTGAAAAAGCACCAACATATATTCTGAAAAAGCAGTGATCCATTCTGGGTCTCATGCATTTCCTCCATCAGAATCAACCATCACAGATGGATTAAATAAGGGTGGGAATGATGCGACATTAGTTGGGTTTGATTTAGAAACTCTCACATATGTAAGTTTTGTATACTTGGCTAATCTCGAGACATTCCATCTACGTCTATGGAAGAGACAGGCTCGTGAGATCATGAATGAAGCCTTACACCCTTACACCCTGATGGGTTCCTCCCCTATTTGTAGGCATCGAATTGTTAGGACATATATTTAATTAGGTAGTACTTCCATAATCACTGATTTACCTGGAGGACCTCAGCTCAGCATCTCTCTGAGCCGAGAAGTGGTAAGCCACAACTTAGTTTAAGACTAAGATTTAAGGTGTGGTTGGATTTCTACTTCCCACTAACTCTGCTTTTCAGGAATCCCAAGCTTGCTGTGCCCAGAAGAATCATAAGACTGTAGTTACTCATTCTTAGCCTAGGTTGGCATCACCCTTAATACTGATGAGAGAAACTGCTGTGTGTGCAGAGTGTTTGACAGAGGATATATTATTGACAGAGGGTATGAGCAGTTCAGTCTGGGAAGAGGTATGTGCCATGCTGAAGTTGGGAGTCTGAAAAAAAAAACATCTCTAGCATGTCAGTTTTTAAAAATAAATGTGGTTTCCTGGACTTGGGGCTGTGGCTCGGGGATAGCAGGCATGCTCTACATGTTCGAATCCCAGTACCACAAAAGGGGGAAAGGTATGTGGTTTTAGAGAGTAAAGTGAGTTCAGAGTTCCCGTTGTCCAAAGTCTATGCAAAGCACAGGACTTTGATATGAGTGGCAAGGAAAGGGGCGATTCACTCAGCAGATTTGGGATAGCAGTATAATAAGATGGTACTGTTATGTGGGCTGGAGAGATGGCTCAGAGGATAGGAGCACGGACTGCTCTTCCAGAGGCCCAGAGTTCAATTCCTGGCAACCACATGGTGGCTCACAACCACCTTAAATGAGATCTGGTGCCCTCTGCTGGCATGAAGGACACATGCAGGCAGAGCACTGTATACTTAATAAAATCTTAAAAAAAAAAAAAGATGGTACTGTTATTACATCTCACCCGAAAAGAAATTCCAAAATGAAAGAAAGATTTAAGCATAAGAAAATTAAATTATTGAAGAAGAGTGAAATTGTTTTTAAAATAGTCCTGAGACAAAAGGCCTCTCTATGTCTTCAGACTTCTCTTGTCCATGCTTTATTTTTAAAAAGGCTATAAAAGAAATAAATTGATTGTCATTATTTGTAGTGTGTTCTAAATGTATTGCAAACATTGGATTAGTGAACACACACTCACTGTCCTGAGGAAACATCTGGAAAGGTTCAGATACACATTAATCACACATTTTTGTCAGTTTGATGGCTTTCTTTGTATTTCTGTTTAAGGATGTCTTGTTCACTGTATATTTCTGATTTGTTAACATGGAACTCCCAGTCAACGCTTTATATTCATGCTCGAACAAAGCATTGTCTCACACATTCTGTCCCAGACACTGTACCTATCAGTGAACTCCCTGTGACTACAAGAATACTTCGGGGAGGAGGGGCGAAGTCTAAAAACCAAACACACAAAGTGCAAAAGCTTAGGTGTGAAATAAAATGTAAGAAAGACACCAATACATAGTGTTAGCTGAGATAGAATGTAGCTAGTCGAGAGCAGAGAAGAATTTATTTGGGCTTTATTAGGACGGCAATGTGGGAAACATCAAATTCCAGTAGCTGTGGGAATGTGCTCCACGGTCTTACAAAAGTGCCGTTGGTGTAACTAAAACTGCCAGGAGCTTGCCAGTTACACCTCTGTTTGCCAGGACTTGTGACTGATGTGGGAAGAGCGTGCAAGAAAGGAATTAGGCACAGTCTGTCTCTGGGCAGTTTAGTTGGAGAGGGGAAGGTGTGGTTTTTATGGATGTTTACAAAGTTGGCAGGTTTCCTCCCAGAAAATTGCAGTTGGCACAAGATCGTGGGGTCAGAGTGAGCCTGGATGGGTACCAGAGAGTTCGGTTCAAAAGTTCGCCTGTCATAAGCCTGATACATAGATGGCTCACCAGGACCTGGCAATTCGTTTCAAGTGTCCAGAACCAATTATTCCACTTTGATTTTCTTCACTGACAATAATATGAGAGCTGCGACAAGTCAGACTCTTTTTTGTTGCCATATAGTGTACATGCCTGGATGACCGTGCAAGTGGTGTGACAGCTGACTGTAGGGCTAGGAATGAGGCTTAGCAGATAGATGAACAGTGAATACAGAGTCAGCAGTGTGCAAAGACTGTACTTATAACTTTGATCCCATAAAATTAAAAGGGTTTGAAGAAGAAAGTCTGGGCGAATACATCAAGTCTAAAGATCAAAAAGTAAACTAAGTAATATATCCGCAACACTTCTAATAGAAATGTACAGAAATGTGATTCACAGGGCCTGGAGAGGTGGCTCAGAGGTTAAGAGCACTGGCTGCTCTTCCAGAGGTCCTGAGTTCAATTCCCAGGAACCACATGGTGGCTCGCAACCATCTGTAATGAGTTCTGGTGCCCTATTCTAACCTGCAGGGATACATACAGAACACTGTATACATAATAAATGAATAAGTCCTTTTTAAAAAAGAGAGAGAGAGAGAGATAATTCACTTGTACAGTGACTTGTGCAGGTAACAATTCAAAACAAATTGTTGGGTTGCTAAAGGAACATGCTAATGTGACTCTCACTGTGACCCTGTCCGCAGTCAGAATATGGGAGAAAGAAAATTTTCTTACACTATGGAACACTTTTCAAAGTTAGCATAAAGCCCCAAATCCTATTCTTAGTAACATGTGTGAACACAGAAGACCTTATGCTGAATGAAATGAGCCAGACAAAGAAAGACAAAGACTACTTGGTCTCCCTTGGATGTGAGACCTAAGGTGAATTCACAGAAACAGAGTTTAGAGAAGTGATTACCAGGGTTTGAAACAGGGATGGGGGGATTCGGGGGATGAAGCAGGTGGTGATAAGTTGGCTAAGTGATGCCCAGGTATCATTAGACAAGAGAAATAAAAAGACAAATGGTGAAAAGATATTAGCAAACGATTGCATGAAGTTGGAGAATTAAGGTATGCTTTCATATATTTGAGAAGTAATCTACATACATGGGTTTAGTTCCAATAACATACAATGAAATAAACCACTCCTGGCCATCCAGTGTCTGGACACCAAGTCACCCACACAGGCAACCCTTCCTGCCAGCTTGTTACACAATCTTGAACTATTATGTGTGACTGTAAGAGCCTTGTACCTCTGGGTATGCGGGTGGCTGGATTTCCCTTTCTTGATTACACTGATGGTTTTACAGTACGCAATCCAATATCTAGTCTTTGTCACTTTCTGTATATTGCATATTCACCTATATGAATATGTTGCCCAGGATTAAAAGCTGCATAGCATCCAGGCTAATGGTACCACATTAACAAACAATTTTTCCCTGTATTTTTGGTACCATAAATATAGGATGAATGACAGTCTCTGAATCCTTCTGTACAAATCACTGACTATATCTCTAGTAAATATGTTTTTATGCATTTGGATTCTTTAAATCATATGTGATTTATGTATCTAAACAAGTCGGTAAACAACAATGCTTTTAGATTAGAAAATAAAGGGGATGTTTTAACGTAACATTGAATTAGAGGAGAAATAATGTTGTTCTGACCAGGAAAGTTCTATTTCACTGTGCTGGATTTAGCTGATAAATGGAAGGTTGGTCGGGAGGGGAAGAGCCACGTTAGTAATAAGGCAGAAAATTGAAAGATGGGCACTTTCTCCAGAACCAGGCCTGCTAGCTAGGGACTGTCGGCATGAGGCTTTTAAAGGAATGCTGATGACATCACATCAGCAAAGCAGGCACTGAGACAGCTATAATTTTAGGATAGTCTGGTTTTTCTGATACATTGGCTGCTGTTATCTGTAGACCACTGAGTGCACTGGGCTCTGTAAATCTAAATAAAAGTTTTTAATTAGAAAGCCATGACTCATCTTCTATTTCAGTTTATCCCCCTGGGGATAGCTAATTCTGCAGCCAATTGTTAGGATAATATGGGCAATGTGTGTGTGATGTATCTGAGTGAAAAACTGTCACTTTGTATGATATATCCTAATAAAAATTGAAATCAAGTTGTTGGGATATAGAAAGTGTATCTCCCCACCCCTCTAGACGACTAGCTGCCCCTCACACCTCTCCACCACCCCCACATACCCCATAGGAAGAAAGATGGACATGTTTGCCTCGGCACAGAAGAAGACAGGAAAACTGCTTTCCCATCCCCTGTTTTATATGGTCTGGAGAAGTGATCTATGAGAGCTGTACTTGTGGCTTGAATGGGTGAGTTTAATAAGTCTATAGCAAGAAAAAAATACAAAGACAATAGCTAGACAGAAGAGGCAGGTAGACAGCAAACATCCTCAAATCATTTACAATGTCCAGCAGAGAGACCATCATCAAATCTTGTTTACAACATCCAGCAGAGGGGTTGTGGTGAAAGAATGTCTCACTATATAGCCCAGATGGCGTGAAGCGGCCATCTTCCTGTCTCAGCTGAGATTACAGGTGTCTGCTCCTATACCATTCAGGAAGCATGAAGGACAGAGATTAAGGAAACATAGAGAATAGCATAAATGATCAGAATGTCAGTGGTTCAACAGCAGAAACACCGGGACATTTCCTGGAAGCACTGCAACAGACCCATGTGGTCATGTAATTTACCCGG